CACAGGCAGACGCGCTTGCTCGTCGCGCACACATTCAGAGACACACTAACGCACGCACTCCCTTTAACAGGTATGAGCAGATTTAGATCGGCTTCCAGTGGAAGTGCGCACTCACCTCCGCATGGCGCCTCGTTCTTCACTCATTCCGGCGAGCGCGTCGCTCCGTAGATCCTGGCGATTGTCGGAGGCGAATGCATCCCCAATGCCTCTGCTTGAACTACAGGGGTCGTGACAATCCTTCAGCACTGAAATCTCAAGCCACTTGACACCGCCTACTGACGGTTTCAGCGTCCCTTTTTTCCCCTCCTCCCTCTACTTCAAAAAGAAAGAAAGAGAATGAAGAAAGTTCAATAAACCCTTCCAGCTCTCCCTGCCCCTCTTCTTTGCGCTTCCCAATAGAGCAAATGCCGGACATCGAGACACCAAGAAGAGAATCGAGTCTCTCTCTCTTGTGACCTGTCAGCAATAATTATTACGTAATCCAAGGTCTAAATTAAATGGAATTCTTTCCGTGAACCGAAGCAGGAGCAGTTCGGCTTCTTCACCGAAAGACTGCAAAACGGTATCACCATCTTCAAGGCCGATTAGATTCATTTCATTCAAACCTGATCCCCTAAGTCTACCAACCGCTACCTCTATAATCCAGTCTTAGGTCCACTAGGGGAAAGTACACGACGCTTCTCAACCAAATTCAGCTATTGGACTTCAATCTATGTCCCCTACAGTAATACCATTCATCTACCACGGCTCTCTCTCTCTCTCTCTCTCTCTCTCTCTCTCTCTCTCTCTCTCTCTCTGTGTCTCTTCGTGTATCTATTCATCCATATCTATTTTCTTCTACCAAAAACGATTCTACTCTACGAGCAAGAGGGTCACCGCTAGATAGTAGATCATACTCAAGCAGTACGAGTGTGTGTGTGTGTGTGTGTGTGTCTGTGTGAGGCGCGCGACCTCGCACATCCAGACGTGAACGAACATACACGATGGACCCTTTCCCTTCGTGAAGCCGAGCACCAGAGATTAGAAGATGGATCACTACACTACCTATAGGGTGTAGATCGGTCTCTCGGCCCCTGGGAAAGAGGAGAAGTGAGAAAACCATCAACTTGAAGCTGTCCTCGACAACGAACCTGAGCCAACTACTTACTCGAATCACTCTCCCGAGCTGGCGAAGCGAGCAAGCAACCGGCCGACGCATCCGCACTCGACCGATTCACCCGGGGAGCAGCAAGGTGCCATCATCCGATCGGCGATCGCCGCTCCCCAGCGTCCCTGTTTTTGCACCTTCCCTCTCTGTAATTGGCCGTCGAACTTCACCCATTCCCCGCTCGCCGACGTTCATAGGCGCGCAACGCAACACACCTTTTCCGCGCTCGCCCCAACGCAACCCCGCCCTTCTCCCTTCTCCTTCTCTCACCCGCTCCTCACTCCCTCCCCTCTCCCGAGTCTCCCCTTCTTGATCTTCAAAGTAATCAGTGCTCCAGTCTAAAACTACGAACTTGATTTCGATTGCCAAGGGGTGCCCCCGCTCCCGCGCTTCGCCACACTGCGCTGCACTGAACTACTCTGCACCTCCGCAACGCTCCCGCCAGAGCGCCGCCCATACTCCGCCTGCCCCCGCCTCGGCCTTGGACTGGAATTCGCGGTTTTTCTTGTGGACTACTTGTCTGCCCTACTTCGCCGGCCATGGCGGTAGGGATGAAGTCTATCCCGATCGGTCTCATCTCCCACGATGAGCAAGAAACAGCGCCATAGCCTATGGCTAATTGATCTCGGACTTTGACAACGAACCGGCATGTCCCGCCGGCCTACTGGTTGGCTGGTCGAAGGGTGGCACACAGTGAGAGAGAGAGAGAGAGAGAGGGAGGGAGGGAGAGAGAGGAAGAGACAGAGAGAGAGAGAGAGAGAGACAGACAGACCGACACAGAGAGAGAGAGAGAGAGAGAGAGAGAGAGAGAGAGAGAGAGAGAGAGAGAGAGAGAGAGAGAGAGAGAGAGAGAGAGANGGGGGGGGGGGGGAGGGGGAAGGGCGCGGCGGTAGGGTTTGGGTTATGTGGGGTGTGGCCGCACTTGGGGGGTTTGGGCTTGGTGCAGGTTCAAATCGAGCCAATCCCAAACCCACCAAGTCCAAGTGCGCCCATGCCCCACAACCAAGTTTTTTGTGGTTTTCAATTCTTAGTGCCATCGTCAGACGCCGTCGTCGACAGCTTCGCTTCTGTCGTCACGCCGTCACCGCCGTCGTCCGCCGCGCTCTGCTTTCGTCGCGCTCCGCATCGATGGTCTCGCTCTGCTCCTGTCCTTGTGCAGGCGCAGTGTGGGACCTCTCTCTCTCTCTCTCTCTCTCTCTCTCTCTCTCTCTCTCTCTCTCTCTCTCTCTCTCTCTCTCTCTCTCTCTATTGACGTCGTCTCTTTGATATTGCCATGAAGTACTATCTCGTTCTCCTATACACATCTAGATGTGTATAAGAGACAGGAGAGAGAGAGAGGGCAATCGCCAATCTCTCTGTGTCTGCTAGCTGCGCGATGGCCTCTCTGCGCTACCATCCCGTTTTTTTCGGGCTATAGACAAACCCGGTGGGATCGCGATCTCTCTGCACAGTTGTTCCAGTCCTGTCTCTTCTCCTCTGTCTCCCCCCCCTCTTGTCGGTCGGGATGTTCGGCGCTCGAGCGCCTGTTGTAACAGAACAGGAACCCTCCAAACGCTGGCTGTTCACGCAGAGGTGGAAGTAGCTGCTTTTTACCTTTTCCCTCTTTCTGGGCCGGGCTCCACTACTCACCATATGTGCGAAATGACAATGAATCTTCCGTCAGAACATGGACAGATACACGGTCATTTATTTTTGTATTTTGCGCATGTGGAGAGTAGTGGAGTGAGGCCCGTATTTTGGCCTTTCAATCAAATGAATGATGGGTGTACAACGATGTGAGTGACGAGTCACCGGGCGGGTAATGGTAACAGAATGCGTTTTTGAACTTTTTCACGGAGCACGGCGCCTCGCTCCCCTACACAGCATACTAAATGTATCTGGACGTGATCGAGGTCTGATACATTCAAAATGTCCGATCAGTCGAAATGTATCTGGTCTGCTTTTCGTTATAGATACGTATCTAACGCTGAGCAGTGGATCGAGGACCGCTATGGCTGTGCGTGTGTCTGGTCTGCGCCCCCTTGGGTGCGTGAGCGGGGGCGACGTCCCACTCGCAACATGGATTGGATTGAGCGCCTGAATCTAGACATGTTCCTGGAAACGTGGTGAAATTCGAGATTGAACAGCTTTTCTGCATTCTCCGTAAAACACGTCCAGATTCAGGAGCGAGTTCCAATCCTCTTCGCTGATGGGACCTAGGCCCGGGAGGAAAAAGCCCCTCGCCGTACTCCCCATCAAATATGACAAAGACCAAAAGCAATGGCGGGTGCATTTTTCCACGTTCTACACGAATATACATTCTCCATTTCGCCCTGCTCGTGCGCCGTGCGCGGAGGCCAGAAATCGCGGGGATTTCCGGACGCGGTTTTTGCTGCGGGAAATTGAAAGCAGTCTACTTCTAGCGCGCTGTCACGCTGCGCGGTGCAGTGTAATTGCTGCCGCAAAAAAAAAAAAAAAAAAAAAAAAAAAGCTGCCGCAACCCGTCGGAAGCTTTCTTTCTTCTTTTTTTTTCCGAGTAACCCGTCGAAAGTTCGAACTCGCATCAACACGTGTACCGCTCGCGGAGCAACAGCTCCTCCCTCCATGCCCCGAGAACAACGCACCCTTTTCGGAAAAAATAACAAAAAAAAAGAACAACGCACGCTCGTCGTGAATGTATACAAGGGATCTTTCCGGTCCAATACCGTCATCCACATTGAATTCGGCGGGAAGATGGGAGCAGCCATTCGATTTGCTCTGTCATTCAACAACGTCCCACGTAGGTTTTCCCCACTTGGAGAAGTGGGCGGTTTAAAACGAAAGAGCATACCGGTTGTGGATTCGACCCTTCACCGGCGCTTCAACAGTCTTTCCATCGCCTTTTATATATTTTGGTATTTTGGTATTCTGCACGGGGGCCCAGGCAGGCCGGCAGATACTCTCTCTTTTTTTTTTTTCGTTGTTGGAAAACAGAAAAAAAAAAAAAAAAAAAAAGCTTGGGCTCCGGGTTAACCGGCCGGTTTTTTTGGGGATTGTTTTTGTTTTTTTCCTGGCCGTTTTTGGGAAGCCACAGGGATTTATCCCATGGACACGAAGGTTGCATTTTCGACGCAGGGGCCCACTTACAGCTGGTCACATTCGCAATTGGGCCACGCGTCAGTTCTGCCTACTGCTCTACAATGCCTGACCCATGACGGCTCAGAGCATAGACGGATTATCAGCATTACTCCTCTCAAAGGGAGAGCAATCAATGCTAGCCCTGTCATGCAGCGTCTGGAAGAGAGCAATCAATGCTAGCTCTATCATGATCTGGACCAAGGATATATGCTACTTCTCTTTTTTTTTTTTTTTTCCCAGAAACAGCCCGAACAGTCACTAGGGGTGCTGATAAAACGGCTAGCCCCGTAGGGAGGGCTCCATCTATTGGTGGGGAGCGGCACCTGCTGGAAAACGGGTCCAGCGTCCCTAAACATGAAAACATTTGATTATACATTCGTAATTTGTGGTGATTGATGGAGTATGTACTCRATCTAATCAGATGTATAGTGAAAAGCAGCATTGATTGCCCTCCTAAGAGGGGATTAACTGCTCTTCCAGTCCGTACGTAATCCTTAGACACACAACTGCGATGACAGGAAAACCTAAACTAACCACCTCCCATCCTGATTGGAATTGCGGGCCGGGCAAGACCATTCACCACCAACTAACCCATGCCCCTCCGCTGCCAACTAACAACACCGATCATTCCACTACAACCCCGATTAGTCGTCATATCATCCATATCATCCCAGCCATAGCCGTCGTTATCGTTATCATCAATATTATTTGTGCTGTTATTATCAGCATCTCCACCGCTCCCAACAGCATCGTTGTTGTTGTCAATCGCTTTGAGACCATGAACAGTGTGTTTGGTATTCTGGGGCTGCTTGTTGTTGTTGTTGTTGTTGTTGTTGTTGTTGTTGTTGTTGTTGTTGTTGTTGTTGTCGTTGTTGTTGTTGTCGTCTCTATCGTCGTTGTTGTTACCATCGTCGTTGTTGTTGCTGTTGTTATTGTTGTTGTTGTCACTGTTGTTGTTGTTGTCGTTGTTGCTGTTGTTGTTATTGTCGTTGTTGTCCTCGGAGCTTCCCTTCAAGCCGTCGTCCTTGTCGTCGTTGTCGCCCATCGCATCCCTCTCGCCACCTCTCCGCCGCTCCTCCAGTTGATTGCATGATGTTGCCGTTGATATCGCCAGTGTTGATGTCGCCGCTGCTTCTGATCTGGAAAGCAGCGTTGTAGATACAGTTGTTGGTATTATTATTTCAACGGATGCAATCCGATCTTCCATCAGAAAGCGCAGATCACAACCCTTTGCACAAAGAGCCGTACAGGTATTCATCATGCTATCCGCCCGCCACCAGTCGATGTATGCGTCGAGCTGGGGATCCGGCCCCTCAACCAGCTCCCACAAAACCTCCAGGATGTCTTCGGCCGTGTCGTTCAGCCAGCCCGCCAGTGAGATCGGCCTCCCGTCGATCCCTGGCTCTTCATTTGACCGCTCAGACAATTCCTCAACAAGCCCCTGTAGGCGCCTGCATCCTCTCTCCAAGATGATCAGCCATTCTTCCGCTCCACGTTGCAGCTCCCCTTCGTTATCGTGTTGTATTAACCCCGCCGAGTCCATCACGCCGCTAATCAAAATCAACAGTTTAGCCAGCACATCCCCTATACATGCGTCGTCATCCGTCCGACCAGCCTCGCCTTCCACGACGCTCACTGCCACGTGTCGGGCGTGAGTATAGGCCCTGCTTCCCAAGGGAGAACGCCTCTCGAGATGGCAGTTCGAGCCAGGTGCCACCAGACCTCGCTGGTTGGGCTAGCGCAGCGCCGGCGGCGGTAGATTGTTGAGGTAGTTCGATCCTCGTGGAATCCCAGTCTGACTCAGCGTTCTTCTTTCTTTCATGTCGATATATGCTACTTCTCTTTCTCTTCTTTTTCTTTGAACATTGCTGTGGCGGGCGACCATTGAAGGGAATATCTGCAGCCTCTAAGGGAGGGCTCCTCCAGTTGTGATGTCTCCAATCTATTGATGGGGAGCTGCACCTGCTGGAAACGGGGTCCAGCATCTCTTCACTAATAAAACAGCGGTGGTTGCTCTCCGTCAAGGGGATCAACTGTCCTTGCTGAAACAGAAAAGAGTGGTAGGGCAGGTCTAACCAATCATCCATCAGCCTATCATTGCCCCCAACAGAGCACAATAAGGCCTCATCCCCCAGATTGGCTTTCCTCCCTTCTGAAATGAACCCCACCCTGTGTAACTGTGTGAACGCGCCGAACGCACGTTCGCACGTGCCACGTGGCGCGAAAAAATTGAACGCGACCCCGCGCCCCGCGCATACGCGTCGGGGGCTTGGGGATGGTGGGCCTCGTCGGTCAGAAACGGTACGTGAAAAAAACACCCCCCGGAGGCCCACCCAACAACCCCGTCACCCCCCGCAAACACTACCCTCCGCTCATACCAACCCCCATCCTCACCTCCCCTCCCCCACTTACAACCCCCCACCTGCGCCACCGAGGGTTCCTGGGGTCCGCGACCGGGGCAGTGGGCACTGCTTATGGGCCACCGGTTTGGGGGGTTATCAGGGAGGGGCATGGGGGGGATAGGTGTTGGTGGGGTAATGGGGGATTTGTGGGGTTTGGGCACACTTGGGGGGTTTGGGATTGGTGCAGGTTCAAATCGAGCCAAGCCCAAACCCCCCAAGTNTTCTTTCAATTTTTTTTTTTTTTTTTTTTTTCTGCTTTGCTGATTGGTTCTTCTTCTCACCGGGGTTTGCGATCGGAACTGCACCAGGTCGTCATCCACCTTGTCGGGCGTAAGGAGGGGATCCGCGCACGCCGGTCACTACTCTGCAACACGGTCAAACTGGGAGCAAAGAGCAGAGATAGGCCCCCACGCCTGCTGAAGCTCAAGCGTTCACAATCGAGTTGAATCAACACTCCTTAATAAGGACAGAACAGGGAGGCTCAGATGATTACATAGAAAATGACACCCATGTAACTATTGATGAACTGCCCTGAGATCGAATCCTGAGATACAATAACTCGTAATTAGCTGGGCCGGTCAATTCAATGATAATACCTCAAGGTCTTTGCCCTTAAGAAGAGTAAAAATAAGAAAAATAATGAATATAAAAAAGTTAAAACGAAACTAAGAAGTTTTGAAAAATGATAAGAAAAATAACATTTTGAAAAACTACAGCAATCCCCCAATTCCTTAAATTGATAATAATTTGATATAATCATAATCAAGCCGCATCTCCTCAGAGGGCAGACCTATTGCACCTGGGTCGTACGGTTGTACCCCGGTTCAATACACTGCCTAAAACACGTCAGGCTTGCTCACCAAAAAAAAAAAAAAAAGTACGTCCCCCGGTTGCATGTATCGTAGGGCAACAAATCTCACCCCGACCAAAAAAAAAAAAAAAAAAACGCGGGTACGAAGTCCATGTCGCAACTGAAAGCTCTGCTGATGGTGCCGCCATAGCCATGAACATGGAAGAGACCCCACCATAGCCAAGGCTTAGCCGACATGACTGTTGATAAGCCGAAGTCTTTTGGAAGTGCGCGTTGGAGCTGTGAGCTGTGAGCATAGGCGTGTGCTTCTTTGTTTTATCTTGTTATGGTTATGCTTTAACTTCGTCTGTGAAGAAGCAGTACTCCTGATCTTTCTATTCATGGACACATAGCGTTGGTCTCGCTCTTATCTATTCTTTGTTCTTTTTCTTTCTTTTTTTCGCTTTTTTTTTCCCTTTTCTTCTTTTTCTTTTTCTTCTTTTTCTTCTTTTCTTTTTCTTCGTTTTCTTCTTTTTTTTTTTCTTTTTTTTTTTTYTTTCTTTTCCTTTTTTTCTTTCTTTTCTTTTCCCTCAGAAAGCCTCCCTCTGCCTTAGACATGATTGAGCCGCCCTTCGGCTGTTCTATAGATTTTTCCCAGGGGACACCCTGGGGGGCGGAGGAACATCGACATCGAGATGATTTCTCTGGGGCAAAAAACAAAAAAAAAGACGGAGTCGGCCTTGGGGTGTTACACATACGATTCTTCATGCTCTGCTGCCAGAATCAGCCAATCCCAACCTATTTCCCAATCCCAACCTATTCCCGACTCAGCCCTACCACTTACCTCCAGAAGTACTCCATACCTTCTATTTTTGTCCCTGAGTTCTGCTCTTTGAATTTGGGCGCAACGACAGAAATAGCGCGACTATGTTTAGAACGCCGAAGTAGCCCCGCCAGAGCGCACTCAGAGATTCTCACATCCTCGTACAGAAATCATTTACTACCTAATACCTGCAATTGCGTCCTGGTGCATCCCGGAGGATCCCGGAGAGTACCGGAGAGTCCCGGAGGGTCCCGAAGAGTCCTGGGTACACGGGTTTTGACATCCTTGAGCCTGAGAGGGCTCTTCATATGCTTTTCCCCTCAATTCTCCTGTTGATGAGAGCCTCGCTGCACACCAGTCTTTTCTTTTTCATCGTTTCAATTCGTTTGTACCTTCTATTTCGGGAGTGTGGGAGGGGGAGGGAAAGGAGAGAGCGGGGGGAGCCCACGCGGCTGTAAACGTCATTTTGGGAACGTCAACACTGAGTATGACAATGCCATCCCCAGGAAGATTTGTGGCGCGAGATGCAAAAAAATCGGTTCCTACTCACTAGAAGTGTAACGCATGATGATCGGATTATGGCTTATTCGCCACGTATAGGCCATAGTAAATCCACCATCTCCGGTCGCGACTAAATGGAGGGGGGTGAGGGGAGGGAGGTACGGTTCAAGTAGATCAGATCCAAAAGCGCACGAGAGAGAGAGAGAGAGAGAGAGAGAGAGAGAGAGAGAGAGAGAGAGAGAGAGAGAGAGAGAGAGAGAGAGAGAGAGAGAGAGAGAGAGAGAGAGAGAGAGAGAGAGAGAGAGAGAGAGAGAGAGAGAGAGAGAGAGAGAGAGAGATCTACAGCCACATCTATGTACTGCAGCTTTGGATGGTTAGGGTTTGCAAGGGCCAAGACAACGAACTCTCAAGAGCAACGTTGCTTAAAGCCTCAGCCGATATTCTGCTGCAGTCTGCAGATGCTACAGACAGCGTACTAATTCTTTCGATTACGACCTACCAACCTTCTCCATTTCTTTTACTCAAATTTAAACTTGCACCTTACACTGATAATAAATATCAAATCTTTTTACCTTATCCGATTCCTCGACGCCTGTCTTATCCGCTTCCTTGACTCGAATTCAAATTCGCTCAGTTATGCCTCCACTGTGGCTGAATGGCACTCCTGTAACTGTTAGTAGTAAGCAGGGCCTGAGCTCCAATCCTGATGAATTCCCTAATATTTTGGGTCCTATTCACTTGCAAAAAGAAAACGGCTAGGTTACTTTTCTCTTTGCGATGAATTCGCTAATACTTTGGGTTCTAGACTCCAAGTCACTTGCAAAAAAAAAAAAAAAAAAAAAAGGCTTCGGCTAGGTTACTTTTCTCTTTGTTCATGAAAAAAAAAAAAAAAAGTCAAAGTTACCTGATCGTCCCAATTCCTTCAAGTTGATCTTAGCCTTTCTAAGGGCGTCGCCGCACGGGACACGAAACGAAAAACGAAACGATGCATCTTCCTGCAGACAATGGCCACGTTCATCGGTTTGCTATAAATAGTAACGAGTGTAACTTGCCACCTTTCGTGGGCAGATGCATTCGTTTCGTTTTCGTTTCGTGTGCCGTGCGGCGAGGCCCTTAGGCAAATTAGAATCATTCGGCAATACGCGCAATATACTAGCCAGACCTTTTTTTTTTTTTTTTTTTCATAGTGGATAATGCTAAAGCTAGCGCGACCTCAAATTGCTACATTTTTTGTTTTAATAATTAGGAGTATATCTTGATTTTTACGTGCCATTCTTGAATGTGCAGGGACCAAGCTCTTGCCTTCTTTCTCCCTATCGTTCCAATTCTAAACCACCAGTACTTGGCCCAGCTATCGGCCGCGGGGAAAAAAAATAGAGTAGAAACGTTTCTAGTTGGATGAATTTGGACGCTCCTGAGTGGCCCGTACGTTTCCTAAAATTGTGCCTTGTTAACGGGCACAACTTTAAGAACTACTGGTGGCTGTTTAACGGATAAAAAAATTTCAACGGATGATTGTCACGATGGTACATTCTTTGGTCGCCGCTAGCCGCCCGCTTTCTATAAATC